TCTGGTGTTGAGGGTGTCGACTAATGAACTGCTGGTTGATCTCTTGGACTCTAACGTGGCAAAGTTACTTGAGGAGGTGGTGGAGTAATCAGAAGTAACTGAAGCCACGTCTGCCTTCGGATGATTCCCATCCAACCTGCCAACTCTGGAGTCTGCAGAGATTCGAGACAGAGACTTTTCCACCCCGTCATCTAACTCATCGTGTTTCTGCGACAGTTCGGCAATCTCTTTTGTGACATCTGACAGTTTGATGACGATCTGTCTCTGCTGAGCACTGCGAGACAAGATGTCGTTCACTACCTCCTTCCCTCCCTCCTCATTCTCCAAGTCCTTGATGGCCTGTCTATGCTGACGCTCGATGTACTCCTTGTCTGGGATCACCTTGTGTCTCTTGTAGTTCTCTTTCATTTGCCGAGCTCTGGTCTCCAGGTCGTATCTACTGTAGTAATGTTGACTGAGGGAAAATGTGGCACGTGACGTGGACCTGTCTGACAAGGGGCGGCGCACAACAGAATCCTGCCAGGGTGCGTGAGAGCTGGAGTCTCTGGTTAGATCCGGGGAGTATGGCTGGTGTTTGCTGACAGAGTAGTAATGCATCTTCCTGGAGCTCAGGTTAGACACATTCCCTACACTTCGATCTAGCTGCTCTGTTGCTTTCGATATCCTGTCCAGTGAACTTTCTGAGTTGTGTCTTGAGGGTGTTTTCAGGTCCTCTGTGGAGTTGACCTTGACCTCTGAACCCTGGTTGATGTGCTCACTACTGCTAGACTTGCGGGGCTGGAAGCTGCGGCGGAGGCGAATCCCACGTGTGAAATAATCCTTGCTGAAACCTTCCTCATCGTCAGAGTAGCTGTGCTGCAGCTGCTGTTCCTCTCTCACTGCCTGTTGCTGTTTGAGGACAGCAGCGCCGACGATGACCCGCACTATTTCTTGGATGTTGACGTCTTGCGCAATGAAGGTGGAGCCAATCTTCTGTATAAGAAATAGACAATTAGAAAGTCACTACCTCAGACTATTAACACTGCTTGATATCACTAATGTAAGCATTGCTGCTTTGATAATCTACATAGTCTAATACAAGGAAACTGACATTTTTAGCTGACAACATCAGCCTCTGTCCATTCTAGAGCGACTCTAAATCAGAATCAGGGCTTTTTGTAAAATGTAATCCCAGCAATGGGCCTAAGAGAAGATTGTCTGCTGAAGAGCAGTCAGAAAACTGGATGTAATATACCTGTCACTCATCCACACCATGATGAGTTAGCTTGGAACAACAAACAGACATAAGAGATGAAGGATACTTCACAATGCCACACTAAGGCTGCAGTTTCAGACAGGTTTAATACACCTCCTTTACACAGATGGGGCGTCAAAAAGTCTATGTTTGTGTGCAAATGTTGCCTTTCTAGTTTTTATTACCACTAATCAAGTCTTTAGACTAATTCTAGTGTCACTAAAAAAAATGTTAACAGTCACTGTCCAACCAACAGTCATGGTACTTAATGTGGCAATTACCTACATGTACAAATGTGGGATTGAGTGGTTGAGAGTTTTAGCCCAGAACCATAGGTCCTGGGTTCAAATCCACCTCAGGCTGGTACAATATGCAAAGTGCCTTGGGAAAGGCATTAACATGACTTTCCTCACAACTTTACTCATTCAGGTGGAAATGAGTACCTTCTTGTAACTTTAATTAGAAGTGTCCCTCAGATAGGACGTTACATGAGGTCACGTGTTTGGGGAGAGCCACACCCCACACACGTTAAAGAACCCATCGCACCTTTTGACAAAGAGTAGGTGCATGCCCCTGTGTGTGATGGTCCAAATACTACTGTCTGAAAGTTGGTGATTCACTACAAATCGTACTGTCTCGTACTAGCCACATCACCCTTGCGGACTACAGGAAGAATAGTGTGAAATTTATGTAACACTAAAATGGAGATTCTAACAAAACATACAAACAAAACCTGTTGACATTACTCACCTTGGGGTCGGCCGAGTTGTCAGAGGTTGAATCTCCTGTTGAAGACAACAAACTCATGGTGAGAAAAGTACTGCAAGGATATGCAACCCTCTAAAATGATTTACCTGAGACTTTACATGATCATAATAATGTGCCAACCATTTAGAATCAAACAAGACTTACCTCTAGTACAGAGAATACCAGTGATGTGAGTTAAATACTAAGTGCATGCATTGTCTTTTACATGAAGGTGTACCTGGTTACCATGTCACTTACATGTATGGATTAGTTTGTGGACAGCAATGTTGATGATGATATGAATGTTTTGAGGGTACATGGTACATGTAGGTAAGGCCACACCAATTTAATTTCTTGGTTAACGGATTTTTCTAGAAAAAAAATGGAGCGGGCGGGCGAAAAAAAATAAAAATAAAAATTTGAGACCACCTGCCATACAGCCATGTAGTAAGCAATCCATTAAGTTACAAAATGATATATATTAGACACTTATTGAACTGAAAGGACCATGTACTACATGTACATGAGCAACTTCTCTTACATCCCTTTACAATTATTCGTATTATTTTGCAAGATACACATCTTTACTATACTGTATGAACAACAAACTGTCAGTTGACAAGACTCCCATCCAACTGGTTTCACTTTTATTCATCTTTCAAAGTTCTGTTCAGATCCCATTGTTCTCTTAGTTCAGGGCACACAGCTTACCACTGGGCTGGGCATTCTATTGTGTCTGGCTGATACGGAAGTTATCTAGAGCTTGAAATTTACAATATCCTAAGTATATGCTTTAGACAAATTTCCAGGAATGTGTAAAAGTTATTGGCAAAAGAATTAACTACTTTTACAGATATTTCTAGTATACATTTTATATTTCCCATTATACACTTTAGGTATGCTACAGCTACATTATACATAGCCATCATTCAAACAAATAGCCACATTGACACACTCTTCAAGTTGCCACAAATTCAATGGTCTAGGGTTTCACTATAAAGTCTTTGATGTATGGGGATTTTTATTTGTAGGGGGAACCATTTTATTAAAGAATTTAGATGTAATAATTGATGCATTATTTGCAATTGTACTCCTGTTTATAGGTATCTGAATAAGATGTAACTTTGTTAGAATGCCACATGCACAAGTAGTATTTTTCACAGAGTAATTTCTATAATTAAAGAACCTGTTTCCCCCTACTCGAAGTAGACTCTTCCGAACGTGAGAAATAGTGAATGGACTTACGTGCATGGAGGACTTTTTACTTTGCCAAATTCCCATGTTTGTGGTAGGATTTTGTACTTTTTGAGAGTAATACAGTTTGTGATGCCAGAAGACATTGTTATGTCGTGTTATTTTTACATATTCCCTGGAAAAAAGATCGTTTTGAAGGTGTGTGTGCATGTGCCGCCCAGGCCGAGTTTATACGTTCGGCCGATTCTAGCACATGTTTCCGACACAATACGTGTTTCTAAGTGAAATATAATATATATCTAAAAGGGAGATGATATGTTGTTACAGGCACGATGACTTAGTAAATCTGCCGCATGTTTGACTGTCGTCAGTGAAGTTTTGTCCCATGAATGGTGACATGTGCAAAGGGGGTGGGGGGCGAGTTCTATATCAAAAGAATTTTTTTTGACGAACTTTCGAAGAGGCAACCTAGCTTTCCGAACAAATTGCACCCAGAAAAATGTTTCTGCCTTGAAGCAATGTATTTTTAACGCTGTTAACTATGCCCAAATTTTGAAAAATTACAACGTACGGGGTGGATTTTGGGGCCCCAATTCGGGACCCGAGAGTATGGATTTTTGTTCTGTTTTTATTTTTATTTCATTTTAGCAAAAAAACGAAGCGGCGAATCCGTTAACCAAGGAAATAAATTGGTGTGGCCTAATGGTATTAAGGGAGATGATAGTAATATTTTGTGGCCCCTGCTAAAGTTTCCTGTGGGGCCACAAATATTCAGTATTTGTAGTTTTTTGACCATCATTATTGACTTCTGTGGTAGGTCGCCTAAAAAGGACTACCGGTGGTACAAAATGTAATTTATATGCTTTTTTGGCCCTCTAGAAGGTTTGGTGGAACTGCAGCTCCTTGTAAATGGAAATGTCCGAGTAACAGCTACCATTCATAAGCATATGGCCACATTGACACTTGATTTTATACATGTAGATGACATCCATAAAGATTTCCGATGCATTACTGTGTCAAAAATCCTAATATCCAAAGTTCTACCAAACTTATGAAATTGTTTCTAGTAGTTGGTTTGGCATAGGGAAAGTCAGTGTGGCCTATATACTAAGAAAATAGTACATCAAAGTTCAAACATCTGCAATGTTTCCTTTAAAGCCATCCAATGCAATTTCAGGGCAGCAAAATTGGAAGTATTCTGAATAGGGCAAACTTATAGTATTGTAGTATTGACACATACTGCTTCACATTAGCACATATGAGTCAGCATTTCATACTTTGGGCATTTAAAACAGCAGAAACAAGCCCCATCAGAGTCCATTATTTTCTGGGTGGTACCCTAAAAATCAGCCCAGGGCCCTTCCAGTAAGCATTTTCCGTCAGAATTCAGGGATTTTTTACTCCATGACAGTCAATATACACTGGGATAGTGTGGTTTCAACTCACTATGTAGATAAATGACCACAATGTTGGCTTTGAAAAATTGGTTTTCCAAGCCCTAAAAACTGCACTGGATGCCTTTCTAAGCATCACTAAGCATATACTATAAATTCAGGGCAGCCCAATAGAAGTGGGGTGGACAGATGAGGAGTTGAAGGAAACATGGCATTAGTCTACACCACTTCAATCCTTGGTTCTCAGGTTTGGTCTCTTGTAAGTCTTGAAAAGTGAACAAACAGACATGTGGTACCATACACTGTCTAGTTCCTCTCATCTACAACCTGTGTAAGGCTTGACAAGAATTTATGTCAGGTCTAAGTAGTAGAGTAGGTAAGTCCAATCTTCAATCACAAATGTCATGCATCTCTTTTTAAGGCCACACCAATTCAATTTCAAATTGTTATTTCTCAGATTTGCCCTGTCCATTTTTTGTGATTTGTAAAAAAAATTTTTTTAGGTTCTAAATCAACTGCAAAATGCTCAATAAAAGACATATTTTGGCCCCAATGGTTGTCCTTTTCTTCCTAGTTGTTAGAGTTTTTTTAATGTAACAATGCAATTTTGTTTCATCAAAAGTTCAAAATCTATTGTTTGATTATAAACCAGCCTGGTATGTTCACTTCATGGCTCATATTGTAACATTCCTGGCTATCATGATGTGCCTTTTTTTTTTATTTTGCCCTGCCCTTCATATTTCTTTTTAAATCCGAGAACAGGAAATTAAATTGGTGTGGCCTAAAGTTGTAGATTCAAATGAATTGTGGTGTGAACTGATTTTATCCGAAACCTTTGAACCAAGAAATTGAAGCAGTGCAAGCTACTGAGTAGGGTAGAAGAAATATAAAATGGATGCTGACTAGCTTGCGAGCACCACTAGAGTCTGATGGGGCCGGCAGCTGGGATGGGCGAGGGTGGAAAGACTTGTCTTTGGAAGTCTGACGGAGGGATGAGCGGAAGCTGAAACTGGAGCGTGAAGACTGGGTACTAGGAGCCTCCAGGGCAGGAAGGGCACGGAAGCCTTATGGAGGAACAGTGGGACAGAGTGGACGACAAACACAGGGTGGACATGGAAAACATGGACATAAAGAGAAGAAAAACAGGGACAAACAAATACAAGGACAGAAGAGGGAGGGGGAGAGAAAATACAGGGTTAGAACTCAGAAGGATGAAAAACAAAATGACAGGCAATAGTACATCCTGTATCTGACATGTATCAAGGCTAGAAGAGTTTGTAAAAACAAACTAAAATTGTACATTGTAATTAACAACAAAAATCACTTTCTTGACAGGTGCTTCTACTTATGAACCTACAACGGACATCAGGCTATTGTATAGATCTATGAAAACAGACACTGACCTACACATATGACTCAAGGTTTATAGAGAAGTTCTACACCCTTCTACACTGTGTGTCATGTATGTGTGGTGCATAGGGCAGATGGATATTGACTTATGGCTAATGTGTAGGGCAGATGGGCAGATACTGGACAGATGCTGACATATGTCTGATGTATAGGGAAGATGGGCTCTGGCATATGGCTGATGTGTAGCACAGATGGACACTGGCATATAACTGATGTGTACTGACAGATGGCTTGTGTGTAGTGAAGACAGACACCGACATATGAATGACATTTAGTGAAGGCAGACACTGACCTATGGTTGATGTATAGGGTGGATGGTACTGACCTATGGCTGATGTATAGGGTGGATGGTACTGACCTATGGCTGATGTATAGGGTGGATGGTACTGACATATGGCTGATGTATAGGGTGGATGGTACTGACCTATGGCTGATGTATAGGGTGGATGGTACTGACCTATAGCTGATGTATAGGGTGGATGGTACTGACCTATGGCTGATGTATAGGGTGGATGGTACTGAACTATGGTTGATGTATAGGGTGATGGTACTGACCTATGGTTGATGT